GAAGGAGAATGATGTGTGTTCTGTGGCCGTCCTGGCACCAGAGATGCAGCACATGCTGGTCGGAGTCTACCCTCCTCCAGCCAGAATCCTGTGCGTCCAAAAGACGTCCCTAGTCACCCGAGCTGTCAAGCCGCAGCCTGGCCATCCACCACAGACAACACAGTGACCCCAGTAGGCATCAGAGCTGATGGTCCATCACTTGTCTAAGTAATGTAAGGTGGCACACGGCCACAACGCCGTCATAGGCCATCACCAGCCAGAGGATGTCCCATGTTGCACCGCCAGACGAAAATATACTGTGCTGAGCAGCCAGAGAAGGAGATGGTCGGCTGCGAGAGCAGTGATTGTCCAGCATCTTGGGCTGGTGGTGAGGCAGAACAGACGTCCACTAAGGACAGGTTCCGAGGAAGAAGTACATGGGGGTGTGCAGCGGGAGTCGTGTGACCGCCAAGGATGACACAGGTTTCCCAAGGACCGTGGCAGGTACATCTCAGGAAGAGCAGAAAGGAGCTGCCGCTGCTGGGGCGCCTGGAGAGTCCAGGAGGACAAACTCGAGACACCTCACTGGTCTTGGTGCCTCTCATCAGCCTGCAGCCAGATGTACAGAAGAGAGCCAGACGTCAGAATGTAAAAGCTGAGTGTTTGCATGTACCATAGTCCGGCCACGGTCCAGTTAAAGACCGTTCGGTAACGATCCACATAGTCTACTCATTCAACTCCCCACTTGTGCTTTCCAGTGCTTAAGAATGTGGCTAGCGGCACCTGACTCCAGCCCTCCCTGACATACTTTTACTGCATTATTCACTCTCCATTAAAAACAGAGCTTTATTCTGATTCGAAATCGTCCTATATCCTCCTGAGACCCCTCTTCGCTCATCAGCCATCTAAGGGCTTTTCTTAATATTCCTAGGCTTTCCCCTCGCGTGCCCCCTCCTCGCGCTAGTGGCACAGACCTACTATTGTATCCTTCCGTCTTCTTCCACCCATCATCTACTCACACGATCGTACAGGATACAAACCAGGGTGGGGCGCGCATTGAATGGCCTAACCATACTGTGCATTTCCCCTGAGAGCTTAAGATTTTTAGGGTGAGGTGTAGCTTAAGAAATTCTAGCCATAGGTCGAACCACTTGGAACAGTATCCCTATTCGCTCATTTTATCTTATGCTAATTGGATCCATAGAAACTTGGAAGGCATATATTCGGGGCGTAACAAGAAATCCTGACATCTACAATAGTATTTCAATTCCTTGAGATAGAGATGCATTTAGCGTGTTTCCTCACCTCTATCTAAAAAATACGCTCGCTAGTCTTATCCTTAGAAAGCAGAACGATCCAATGCCTCCTCTCACTTTCTCCCTTCACTGCCGCAACCTTCCTCAAATAATGAATTTCCGAGTAACCAATACAGTCCATACATTAATTTCTCTGGATAAACTACAGTTTGAACCACAAATGTTGGTCACTAGAAAGAAGACCAACGTTTCTCATATCGCCCATTCTACGCCTGCTTTCCGCCAAAAGGAATGCACACTTCCAGTAGCAAGAAGAAAGGTATGTAACTTACAACCAAGGACCCCAAGACAGTGGCCTGTATTACGTGCCGTCGAGCCTCCACGCCCATAGCTTGAGGTTGTCTGGGCTATCATACCCCAGAGACTTGACACTACACCCGCTTTCCTTCTGAATGTCCCCAATCTTACACAAGAAGTCTGTCATAGGAGACCCATAATATCTGAGGCTATATCATGTAAACTTTATTTGATTCACATGCTAATCATGCTCTTTTTTGGGAGTATATCGCACGTGTACCCACCAGGTTCATAGCTGCATACCAGCATGCTCGCCACATCTTACAGGAATGACTTAATATATTTGTTTGCTATCAATAGTCTGGGTCTCGAACTATGGAGAGCATTCCTATCTAATCAAGCAAGTGTGGGTGACTAATCGAGCTCACAAAGACAAATCAGCATCACATTTTTTTCAACCATTCAAAAATTTCAGACATTCCTCCACCCAGCTTCGCCTTTCCAGGCAAAGAACCAGGAAATGTTAATGGTCCCTCCATGTACACAACTCCCCACCTTGATCCCTCTTGAAGCTATGGACTTCCGTGGGCCTGGTTTACAGTTATCAGAACATAGAGGAAAACATTATGAGTTTTATGCCACCCGAACCCTGCACTATGACGACCACGTACCTCACCTTTTGAGTGTCACCCCGGGACGTTCCTGCCGGGCATTGAGTTTTTGCTTATAGGTTGAGTCAGTTATCGAATCTTCTCTGTCTTTCTAGCTTTCCGGCAGGATGCAGCCGGGTACGCGATTCACATAGCTGGGCACAGTGGCCATTGCACATTATTGCTCAGGCTTACTCCATAGTAGGGGACCCTGGGAAGAGTGGAGAAACTGTTTGACCTTATCAGCCTGAGGCTGGAGGAGAGATAATTCTACATGGCAGAAAAATGATGAGGTAGACGAGGAGGCAACATACAAAGGCAGATTGGGATCCTAAGTAGTGATTGTGAGGTGGGGGAGAGAAAGATAGTAGAGAGAGAGAGGAGGACGAGTACCTACGAGCAAGGAAATCACAGCGATGATTTGGATCCATCTTTGTCATGTTCGCAATGCAAGGGTCCTATTTTCATGTTCCATACGCGGCTTTAGTAATTGCATGTCTGCCACGAAAAAAAAGTCCAGGAATGACACGGTACCTGAGAGGCAGGGAGCTAGCCCAGATGTGAGGCGAAAGACATTCAGCCCATCAAGATCACCCCATTTATTGTGAAAAACCACACTCACGATCAACAATAACCTGGTCTCGATGAGCATGTACAACCGAGAATTTTATATGTCCTATAGTAAATCACTGATATTGTATTGCAGCCCACATATACAATCTCCAGGAACATAAACAGTGACATGCCAACAACCCATACTTATTCTATTCTTTGAAAGTCTACCACACAACTAAGACGGGACACAGGGCCCATGCTAGGACAAGGGATTCCTGAAAAGCGACATTGTGCTGGTGCTATGCTGGTTATACATGTCACCGGACTTCGCACCCGAAAAGAAGACACAGCGCACTGGGCAAAGTTATTTGGAGAGAGTGGGGTCCCCCAGGGCGAAGAGCCCTGTCCCCTGCCCAAGGGTTGGTTGTTTGATAGTCCCGTGTGCGCTGGGCAGTCTCCAAGGTCATTTTTTAAAAAGTGTGGGTGGGTTGACGCTACCAGACAAGCCCCCACGAGGAGAGGCACCCC